AAGACTTATTACAAAAAACATTGCATTATCAATATCAAGACTGTAGGGCCCAAGCATAGCAGCAGTAGGCCTGATCACCTGTTCCCAAATATACATGTACTGTCGGCAATTTAGAACCTTACAAAACAGATTGGTGATTAGCTACATAAATGATTTAATTTTCTGAGGATTTTACATACCATCTAATGTTTTCCTTGACAATGGAAAGTCTGAAAACTTTTTTATGTCTTTAGCTTGTATCTGAAATTAAATGTTTTTTTTTATGAAAAGTAACGTACACACATGTGGCCATGACTCTGGTATTCAGTAAAACCGCTGATAAACATGATAAATTAATCTGACAATCATTCAAAGTTTAAAATCAACTTACATTTGGATATCGACTCTGTAATCCTGTTATTTCAGCGTTAATTAAATCTAAATTCTTTGGTTTTGATTTGTATAGTTGTTGCTTTCTAATTTTTCCTTTGTGACCCTTAAATTTGTCTTTTTGAGGCTTATTTGTACCATAATATTTTGCCCTCGTGTTTCCCTTTGGATTCATGTTGAAATATAAATGACTTTCTCGCCTCCTTTCAAAAGAGTTCTCTTCTGGTCACATGACGTCATGAAGATCACATGACTCGAAAATGGCTTCCTCCGGCACGTTTCTTGTTGGTCTCAGCCTCATCGTCACATTTTGTCATGTCAGTTGCTATCCTGATAATGTGACAAGCGCGCCAAAATATACAATTAATTTAGATCTACCAGAAGAAGAGAGATGGGTTAAAGCTGCGAAGGATCACAGAGAAATAGTGCCAGATGTATATAACGTCCTCATGTGAGTCACATGCAAGGAAACTTTAAATATTACATTTCACAGGAGTCGGCAGTTTTATCCATAAAACAATGTAAACACTAACCAGTGAGCTTCGGTAGCCTAGCGTGCACGCTCGCGAAGCTCACTGGTTAGTGTTTAAATTGTTTTATGGATAAAACTGCCGGCTCTTGTGACATTTCCATGGATCAATGTCACTGGCACTTGTTTCGGTAATAATTTTTTTAACTCATAGTATAATAATAACACAAAGTATCCAGCTCAGAAGTACATGAAGTACCCTTCCTCATAATCGCACTCATTTACACTGCACTGACAACTCTTTATTACCATTGTCTTCTACGATAATTTTTTTACACAACCATATGTGGCATGCTTGTCTTTATTTTCTTTTATCTCCGTAAACAGCGTCATAACTCTGCTCACCAAGTTTACAAGTCGAATCACACCATGAAATGGTATATGCTAATCCTGACCAGAGAGCAAAATTAAATAATAGATGGTTTAGAAATTCAATTCCAGTGTTTAAATATTGCAGTGAATAAATGAAATATGTGGAGATAACGAACAGTATTAGAGCTCAAAAGTCCATTAAACATTACAAGATAGGAGCAAAGCAAACACGGACCTCTAAGACATCGGAGGTGGGATCAGGTGCCATGGAGGAAAGAGCATCGCCTGCCGACCAGTCACACCCACCATGTGTTCCTTGTTATGATTGGGAAATAACAGAAAAATCCGTCGACAATTCAGTGTGTAGATAATTGCCTAACAAATAGTATGAAAAAAGTCAGTCTGCATTTGACTTAATGAAAGATTGTATTTGCTGACAAGGTCATTGTGTCGACCATAGAACTTACAAAATGATGACTTTAAACGAGACTGCTGATATTCTTGTTTCATCAACTTGTTTGTCAATAACTTACTTCGTTTTAGGAATTTTTCATACGTAGAGCAGGGATAGACATTAACTTTCAGACTCACTTGCCCTTCGGGCAAGTGAACTCAAACTTTGACTTGTCCGAATGCAAAACTTGGTTGCCCAAAATTTAGAAAGAAGAGAACCGGTATCTTAATTTTTTATTGTAAATAAAGTGAGATCTTACTTTATATTTGGCAAGATAAGTGCCAGAAAAAATTTGATGTGCTGCTCATTTTACATTTTAAATACTTGTAAACTCACACTACCATGCAGCAATATTTCCCATAAAATAACATTCATATTTTTAAATTTATTTTTGTGCGATCTTTTTGCGAATCTTGATTTTTTTTTCCATGAAAAAGGGGAAACAGTTGCCATGCTTACATATTCTGATTAGAATACATCGTGCACCGAGAATAACTATTCCTTATATTCTGTGAGTTAATAAATAAACTATTTTATGTCTCTTATTTCATAATAAGAATGTAAAGAAAGTTGTCAGACGGAAAGCATATTTTTGTCAACTACCACGAAAGAAAAACAGAATAATGAACCCGATTTTTCAAACGCTACTGAGGAATTTACGAATGCAAAACAATGTCATATGCCTGGTGGAAATCAAATGTTCAATTTATTGTTTTGTTTATAAACTAGTGAAAGATATAAAAAAAAATCTATCAGAAATATTAACTTGCCCGATCGGACAAGTACATAACAATTTCACTTGCCCGAACTGAGAATTTACTTGCCCCGGGCAATCGGACAACCGTTAATGTCGATCCCTGTAGAGCAGGCTCTGGTGTATCGAATCAACTGAGAGTTATAAACCCTGTATGCAGGTGACACGGGTATATTGCTGTGTAAGTAAGGGAAGTTGACGATTGAAAAGTTAAAGTCATGTTTATCATAAAGCTTTGTTGTTAGATTACCATTAACATCTTTTTCTAATAATTAAAATATCCAAATATGAAACAGATGTGTCAGACTCTGTGGTATCTTTTATCTCAAGCTCACCGAGGTATATCATGTCGACATAAGAATGGAAATAACCATTGTTAATTGACAATACGTCATCGATATATCTGAATGTCGAGTTGAAGGCCACAGCAAGTGTTTTCTTCTTTTCACATAAAAGATTTTGAACAAATTCTGCTTCATATGAATACAAAAATAGGTCTGCTAATAAAGGGGTGGAATTGGTACCCATGGTAATTCCAATAGATTGTTGGAAGACCTGGTCTCCAAAAACCACATAAATATTGTCAATCTGAAACTCGAGCATCTTTTTAATGTCAACTTCAGAGTACTTGTGTGTACAATCAGAATGTTTTCTAACAAAGTAACTTTGCAAATGACCACTGACAAGGTTAGTAAATTTAAGTTCCATTTTTATAGAAAAAGCAACTGTCAATGATGTCAGAAAGTCTGGACTTTAATTTACCTTGGGGAATAGTTGTATATAAATTTGAAAAGTCGAAAGTTTTTATGTTGTTGATTTTGGTAAAATTTTGTGATTTCAATTGTTCCAAAAAGTTCCTTGGAATTTTTTAGTCTCCACATCTGATTTACACCACTTTTCGAATATATTGATGCACAGTACTCTTGAAGTTTCTCCTTCAGTACTGTCAATATCTTAGTGAGGAGTAAAGAAAGAGGCTTGGATGAACATATACTGGAACCCGCTATATATCTTTGTAAGGATTTTTATGAAGATTCGGAATCCAATATAGATATGGTAATTCAAATTCATTTTGGTTGTTGGGAATATTAAAAATATTCAAAAAATATTCAAAACTGACATATGATTTTGAAGAATTTCCTCCTTAGAAAGGGGGCTATGGGTATAAGTTGGATTACCACTTGTAGAATTAAATCCCAGTTCATTTACGTCTCATTTTCCATAAAAACACTACGATATTTTCCTGATGTAATTTTAGAAACAGATTTTAGCCAATCAAAATCTGTATATATACCATATATGGTTGTGTAGATAAATTATCGTAGAAGACAATGGTAATAAACAGTTTGCCAGTGCATTTCCTCTGAAAAGTGTAAATGAGTGGGATTCTGGGGAGGGAGATAAAAATTTATTACCGAAACAAGCACCTGTGATCGATGTAGTAATAATATATCACCTTTCAGATTCTTTTTTCACAAAAGTGTGCTTCAAGTGAATATATATACAGCAAAAATCTGGTTTGAAACAGTTTCCTTTAAATAAATCAGTGATTAATTTATGTAAATAAAGTAAATCTTTCTGTGATATTCTTGTTAGTGCTCTGAAAGGTTAAAAAACAACATAATAGATATATGTGTTGAATTTAATTTTTAGAATGCAAATACACACATTTGTCCTATTAAGTGCCCCAGGCACTTAAAAAAAGAGGGTGCTTATCTTATTAGATCTTGCTGCAATAGCCCAGAAAAGAATTTATACTTTATGTACAGAAATACTTTATGTACAGTGTACAGTATAGAAACATACTATTATAAGGCATACTTTTATAAACACATCCTTATCAAAAATGTATTTTAAAAGTGGCTTGCTTTTACGTCCTAAATTTTAAAATGTTACAGCAAATTACAATATCATTTTAACAAGGCATAAACAATGTACAAACACTATACATGTATTGAGATATTAGATGAGTCATTTCAAGAATTCATTTATCAAATATTGACAATGGAAAGTGGTAAAGTCCTGTTAAATCATATGGAATATATTAAAGGTGCTTGGACACAGATTTGAAGCTAATATTTTCTAAAATTTTCAGTATTATAATATCATGACAAATTGTTGCTAGAGAATTTCACACTGAAATTTGATAAAAGCATGTTTAGAAATTCCTTTTATCTGGAAATTATTAAAACTACGAATTTTGGGATGTGATTGATGAGAAAGTTTCCTTGCAATTACACGAAGCAAACTTTATCTTTAATAATTTAGAAAAGTAGAAAATTTATTGTGTATTAATGAAAACATTTAAATTATAATCTAGTAAATTTAGAGTAAAAATGTGATAAAGCAAAACCAACTCACCAGTATTGTCAGTCCATGCTCAGTGATGTGTTTTGAGTAAACAGTTTGAGCACACACGGTAAGACATAAACATTAACAATAACAGAGCTTGTGCCCTGCTTACAAAAACAAATGTTTTGAAGAATGTCGTCATTGCATTTTAAGAATTTTTATGTAAGTTCAATTCATTAAACTGAAGTTATCTTTTAAATAAAAAATAGAAATTTAAACTTGTAAGCAAAATGGCAATGCAACTGCGTGCAGGCTCCTTTAAGGAAGAGGGCCCTTGTTTGAATTAAAGGTCCCAGGGGGTGCTTATAGGGGTAGGGGCACTAAATAGGGTAAATACGGTATAAAGAGGTTATCAATTTGTGTTTGAAAGTATCAAAGATTTATTTTAAAAACTCAAATGATACATACTTTTATATGTGTTCCAAATTAAGTGCAAACTTGTTTGATTACTGTTTCCCGTAATATAATGCTCACAGTAACATGAAAGATAACAGATAAATTTTCCACAAATTAAAAGTATGGCCCCAAATGTCTTATTTCAATCTCTCTTTTCTTCACTCCTTTATATTGGCAGCTGATTTTGTTTTTAGATCATTCTTGGGAAAGTTTCCATTTGCCAATTTGACAGTGAAGGCAATAGAAGCTGTAGCAGCAGACATTGATAACTATCTGCCAAAACCTTATGCAGGAGAAATGAGAGGTAAACAAAAATTCACTAAGACCAAATGTAAAAAAAATATTACAATTTTAGCTCACCTGAGATGAGTGCTAAAGTGAGCTTTTCCTATCAAAATTTGTACATTGTCTGTCATTGTTTTGTCATAAATTTTTCACAGTTTCATCTTCTAAGAACCACTGGACCAATTTCAACCTTTTCACAAAGAATTCTTGGGTGAAAGGGATACAAGTTAATTGAAATGAAGGGCTATGTCCCCTTTCAAGGGGAGATAATTAAGAATTAGTGAAAATTTAATGGCATTTTTCACAAATCTTCTTCTCAAGAACCACTGTACCAGAAAAGTTGAAACTTACATGAAAGCTTCATTGCATAGTGTATATTTAAGTTTGTTCAAATTGTGACCCTCAGGGATAGGTTGGAGTGACAACAGGCCATCAAAGTTTTAGTTCAGAAAAAGTAGGGGAAAAAATCTTTAAAAATCTTCTCGAAGAACCACTGGGCCAGAAAAAATGAAACTTAGGTATGTGAAAGCTTCATTACATAGTGTAGATCCAAATTTGTTCAACTTTTTACCAGGAGATCAAAGTTTTACATAGGAATGTAAAGGGAAAAAAATCTTCTTCTCAAGAATAGCAAAGGCATGATTAGGCATATTTATATGGCAGCATCCTCAGGCAGTTTAGATTTTAAGTTAATTTGTTCAAATCATGACCCCCAGGGTTAGGTTAATTAAGGCCACAATAGAAATCAAAGTTTTACATGCTAATATATGCTGTGAAATCACTAATTTTCGTGGGGGTTTAATTTTCGTTGTTTTTGAGGTATGGAGAGACCCACAAATTTATGACCACCATGAAATGTAAAATTTCCTATGTATTAATTACTACTAAACATTTCTCCAACCACGAAATCAAATCCCCACAAACCAATATTTTTTCCTCAAACCTTGAAAATTTGACCCCATGAAAATACATGTATTTGATTTTACAGTAGGTAAAAAATATTTAAAATATTTCCTTTCAAGAATGGCAAAGGCATAATTAGTCATATTTGATATGGAAGCATCCTCAGGTCGTGTAAATTGAAGTTTCTTCAAATCATGACCCTGGGGGTTAGGGTGGGGCCACATTAGGTGATCAAAGTTTTACAAAGGAATATACTATAAAGGGGGAAATATTTGATTGGAGGAATTTTTGCAAATTTTGGGAAGAACAGTTTCGAAAATAGATATGATACTAAACAGCAAATCAACTCATTTTGTGAATTCTTGATTATTCGTAAAAATTACCCCAATACAAATGTTTTGTAACATAAAAGTCACAGAATTTTACCACATAAAAATATCCTTGTTTATAATATGGGAAAAAATCTGCTGATGAAGAATAGCAAGGCCATAGTGACTTAGGTAACCTTTTTGGCTCATGGGCCTCTTGTTTTACTTTAAAGATATTCATGTCTTCAGTGGACCATGATGTAGTAGGTTTTCACTATCAGTTTCATGACTTGTGATTTTTTAATAGGTATAGCAAAGGCTCTTAATATGGACCTTGGGGGCATTGTGGGAATGAACATTCTATACGATGTGACAGCGTAAGCATTTTTTCATTTAGTTTGCATAAATAAAAATTAAAAAGAAAAGTTATGAATATTTTCTATATTTTGAAAATAAATTGCATTTCAATTTACAAAATCATTGTGTATATTGAACTGTATTAAAGCAATTAGAGTTTGTATCTGGAACATCAATATCTTGAATATATACTAGGGATCTGAGTCAAATGTTCCAACCTTACCAAACTCTTATCTCTATACAGATATATCATAGTTTTTGACAATTCAGATATCTTATATATATGTAGGTTCAAATCTATGCACCTGAGTGAGGAAGAGTTGTTCATTAAAAAGATGAATATTTTAAAATTGTGCTTAGGTTTTGTACGAGCATTGTTACCCAAGATGCAAATGGACAGATCTGGCACTCTCGTAATCTTGACTACACCTTTGTTAACATGCTGCGAAATATTACAATACAAGTGGACTTCATAAAAAATAATCAGGTCAGAATCAGTCAGCTAAGTACCCTCTTTGCAGTATTATATTTCTGTGAAACATTAAACTTTTTTTTTTAATGTACAAACACAAGAAACATTTCAGTGTAACTAGTTGGTTTCATAAATGGTCAAAAGAAAATTTTAAATTACAAGTTATTTTGAAGGAATTGCCCTGATTATAATGTTGTGTACACTATATGACCTTTGTTCTCCTTTCTACCTACAGACAGTGTACAGCGGTGTGACCTACGCTGGGTATGTTGGGTTAATTACCGGAATGCGGCCAAAAGCCTTTACCATGACTCTAGATGAAAGAGGTAATCCCAAAATGGCATTATGACAATATAAGTGTTTCAGATAGGAGTTTGATTCAAGAAATGTACTGTGCTACTTGATTAAGAATCAGATAACTCAAGGCTTAAAGAAATAACAAAAGGGATAAACATATAAACTGCTACATGTATATCATAAGGTACACATAGCATGTGTACATACATGTATATACATGTACCGGTATCTCTAAAGATATAGAAACCTGCAGTAAATTACATGTAGTGCAAAGTAAACCCTTGAAATGACACAGAAATGACATTTTTATAATATTTTCTTTCAATTTGTAATTTATGTCATATGTATAGATTTGTGGCTATAGATAGCTTTTCACTTTGTCTGTGTGTCTGTTTTTTCACTTTGTGTGTGTGTTTTTTTCTAGATCAGGGAGCTTGGTGGGAGAATTTTATTATTGGTTTACTAGACAGAAGAGCCATGCCTATCAGTTTCTTAATGCGAGATGTAAGTTTATCAGTTATTCATTCTGTATTATACACTACAGATATTCTGATTAATATCCTCATGGAACATAAATAACAACTAAAAAGATTCTCATCTCAGTAAATAAATTCTGGAAAATTAAATATTAACCTTCTCTCAAAGGCTTGATAAAATGAGAAGAGATTTAAAACAGTTCTATAGAAAGTGTAACTTGTGCACACCTTAGTTCTTAGTGTTCTGATCTGACTTTTGTATTCCACTGTAGACCTTTGCCGAGTGTACTAATTTTAAGGATGCTGTAGATAAAATGGCCTACACTACCACCGAGGCGTCAGGCTACATCATTGTGGGTGGGGTACAGAAGGGAGAGGGAATGGTTATCACCAAGGGGAGGATCGGTCCTGTAGATTTGTGGAAACTGGACCCCAATAATGGAAGGTAGGGGGAAAAGTTCTGGTGGCTTCTGTTAAAATAGTCATTATTTAATTTCAATTTTTGTCATCATGTATTAGATTAGGAATTCATCAATCAGTTTGTATCCTTCTGCTCTGTTGTAGATGGTTTGAAGTGGAAACTAATTATGATCACTGGGTTCCCCCTCCAAGCAGTGATAACAGAAGGTAGGTTAACTTTTATGATATGTGACCTTAAATAGTGATACACATAATAGAAGGTAGGTAAAATTAGTGTGTCTTTAAAAAGTGGTAAGACTTTGTTGTGTCATAAAAACATTTATATGCTGTAACTACATGTACTTCATTCTTTTTCCAAATATTTTAAAATATGGATATATATCAGTGAATAATTTTCATTGAAAAGAAATCTAATTTGTGTACATGCAATCTTTAAGTTAGATATGCATTAATTATTATTACACAGAAAGGTTTATAGAAGGTGTTAAAAATGTAGTGTGCCTGTTGTCACTTCATATTGCCAAGTTGGAAAAAAAATTATGGTTGTAATACATGTACCTCCATTGAATTTCATGTAGGTGTGTAGCTATAAGAAGAGCACCATATTAAGGGATATCTCAGTTGTTTTTGAATAAATAAATGACAACAGAAAAATGCTGCATGCTCATATTTGAGACCTTGTAAACTCCACACAAGGAGGAGGTTTATAACCTGAATCTAGAAGCTCTCTGTTTGATAGTGGAGACAAGAAAAATAATCAGCCTTTATCTTGAGTATGCATACATTATTGCTTTACTAATTCTTCAAGATTTCATTTTTTTGTAGAGACCCAGCAGTTAACCTGATGAATAAAATAGGACCCAAAAATATCACCGTGGAAACTCTCATGTCTGTGATGTCACTTCCTCCTGTGCTCAACAAGTAAGTATGGCTGTCATCTGTAGAACAAAGCAAGTATTAAGTAAGAATCCGTGTAATCAGGAAATATTTTATATCCTTTTTAGAAAACCACATACATAATAAGTACCAGTACATTACTTTTCCTTTTTAGTAAAACCACATACACCATTGTGATGTCTGCAGCTAAACCCGAGCTGACGGTGGTATATGTTCGTCACTACAAAGGCTAAAAATTATCTGTAAAGGCAGATCCCAGTACGAGTTCATCATTACAATGGCTATAATTTCACTCTATAAAAGACTGAAATACAATAGAATTACTGTAACAGATTACAAAGCAATGTGTTCTAGTACATGTATATCATTTAAACAGATACTCATCCTCTATTACTTACCTATATTGGTATCATTAAGAGATGAAGTCAACAGCCAATTGCGAGTCAACATTTTTGTGAATTGACATGGGTTATTTTTTCTTTGTTAAATTTTTATGTATAATTTATTCATCTGAATAATTTTACAACTCAGCTTTATTTGCTCCTGACCATCAACAAATGGTATCATTCCTCAGTTCTTAAGGTTTTTTGTTTTTTTTAAAAAAAAATCATTCCATCTCAAACACTACAACCACTCATTTGTATGTTTAGAAAAAGCATATCATTGTGTCTGAAAAAAGTTCTAAAATATTTTTGGGTGATGTTGTCCTCCTCAGTATTTGAGGTTGTATTGCTTTTTAATTTTGAAAGTCTGACTTTAAATCAGAACCATTTGTTAGAATAGTAATGTAAATGTGATTTCCCCTTAAATCCTATGATATATTGACATTATTGTAGCAATCTCTTCCTCATATTGCTCAATAAAAAGCCTATCTGTGATATGGTTTCTGTGATGTACTGTTTAAACATGAAATATTTATGTATCTAATGAAGATGTAACTGTGAATGTTGTAAAATATGCAACAGAAATTAAAAATGAATGCATGAATTGTATTTTTGAATTTTTTCATGTCGAAATTATTTTTATAATTTATTTAGTATTAGAATTAAATTACAAAGAAATTATGTTTCTTTCATTGAAATTTCCAAGCTTCATACTTTTACTGTTACATTTATAGAGTCAGTTAGGGGAGATAATATCATCTATGTCTCTTTTTGTGCCTTTTATTAAAACAAAAGCATTCTTTAAAAAATATCTAATGTTTTCATAAGTACAGTATTGCACTGTATGTTTCTTATTTTAGCAAAAAAAAAAAAATGGTTTCTCAGGTGACTTGCAAGGCTTATAATCATCATATTATTTATTTGTCAAATATATTGTTTATTTTTATATAATGATGATGTATATTGATCATGATGAAATAAAATCATAATCAAGAATTTTTTTCTTTAAGTTAAGCTCAAGGAGGTACCAATCTATTAAAATCTTGAGTTTTCCAATAGGTTAGTCCAGAGTAATGTCCCCCCCCCCTTTTTTCCTCTGGGAACATTTTAATCCCTTGCTTCATTGTGTACTTCACTTTTTGCATATCTTCAACTGAACTGGACTGTTTATTCTGTCCCGTAATCATATTGTATTTGTTCATAGAGTTTATAGGTACAAGAAATAACACAAAATTTCACAAAACACTTCCACAAATTATGTAGGAGTTAAAAAGAAATGATGAGTATATACATCAGGGCTGAAGAAAAGACTAATGTTAAATTAATGCTAAATGCTAAATTAGCTGGTATTTCCTGAAGAAGTGTACAATCATTAGGCATTAAAAATGTAGGTTCAGTCATTGGAATTCTTCAATTATAAAGGGGATTAGGAAGATAAAACTCAAACATTGTGTATGTCATTAAAGAAGACCCTGATTGATTTGAGGTCAAAAGGTCAAGGTCATAAATTCATACCTTAAATAAAATGGTTTCCAGATGATAACTAAAGTTCTCTCTGAGGCTTTGCAATGAAATTTTATACCATTTTTAGCTCACCTGAGCCGAAGGCTCAAGTGAGCTTTTCTGATCAAAATTTGTCCGTTGTCTGTCGTCTGCGTCGTTGTTGTCATAAACTTTTCACATTTTCATCTTCTTCTCCAGATCTACTGGGCCAATTTCAATCAAACTTGGCACAAAGTATCCTTGGGTGAAGGGGTTTCAAGTTTGTTCAAATGAAGGGCCACGCCCTCCTCCAAGGGGAGATAATTACAAAATAGCAAAAAATTAATGGCATTATTGAAAAATCTTCTTCTCAAGAACCAGTGGGCCAGGAAAGATGAAACTCATGTGGAATTATTGTCAGGTAGTGTAGATTCAAATTTGTTCAAATCATGACCCCCGGGGATAGGGTTGGGCCACAATGGACAATCAAAGTTTTACATAGGAATATGTAGGAAAAATCTTCAAAAATCTTCTTCTCAAGAACAGCAAAGCTATGATTGGTCATATTTATGTGGAAGCATCCTCAGGTGGTGTAGATTCAAGTTTGTTCAAATCATGACCCCCAGGGGTAGGGTGGGGCCAAAATGGACCATTAATGTTTAACATAGGTGTACATAGGAAAAATCTTCAAAAATCTTCTTCTCAAGAACAGCAAAGCTATGATTGGTCATATTTATGTGGAAGCATCCTCAGGTGGTGTAGATTCAAGTTTGTACAAATCATGACCCCCGGTGGTAGGGTGGGGCCACATTGGACGATCAAAGTTTTACATAGGAACGTATAGGAAAAATCTTCAAAAATCTTCTTCTCAAGAACAGCAAAGCTATGATTGGTCATATTTATATGGAAGCATCCTCAGGTGGTGTAGATTCAAGTTTGTTCAAATCATGACCCCCAGGGGTAGGGTGGGGCCAAAATGGACGATCAATGGTTAACATAGGTGTACATAGGAAAAATCTTCAAAAATCTTCTTCTCAAGAACAGCAAAGCTATGATTGGTCATATTTATGTGGAAGCATCCTCAGGTGGTGTAGATTCAAGTTTGTACAAATCATGACCCCCGGTGGTAGGGTGGGGCCACAATGGACGATCAAAGTTTTACATAGGAATATATAGGAAAAATCTTCAAAAATCTTCTTCTCAAGAACAGCAAAGCTATGATTGGTCATATTTATGTGGAAGCATCCTCAGGTGGTATAGATTCAAGTTTGTTCAAATCATGACCCCGGGGGTAGGGTGGGGCCACAATGAACGATCAAAGTTTTACATAGGAATATATAGGAAAAATCTTTAAAAATCTCAAGAACAGCAAAGCCACGGTTTGTCATATTTATATGGAAGCATCCTCAGATAGTGTAGATTCAAGTTTGTTCAAATCATGACCCCCACTCCCTTTTTAGGGGTAGGTTGGGACCACTTATGCATTTAAGCTTTTCAATACTAAACTGATTTTTCCTTTTTTCCTAGCCACAGTGCTCAGGTGAGCGATGTGGCCCTTGGGCCTCTTGTTCAATATGACTTACAGAGGAACCTTTTTGATTTTGAGGTCAAAGGCCAAGGTCAGAAATTCATATATTGCATACACAGTTTTCTGATGATCTTTAGTTCTCTGTAAGCTTTTGCAATGAAACTTTGGAATTTATATACCTGTATTGACTTTGAATCCAAATCTGAAAGGTCAAGGTCAAACCTTTTTTTTCTTTTCCAATCTTTTTTGGCAGGTCTTCCACCCTCTTTTTCCCCTTTTTCCTTAAGGTAGTACATAAATTCCCTGAATCAGCTAGTTATGAAGATATTGCATTGGGAACTATTGAAACATCCTCATAACATACACTGTTTTTATTTAATCATAAAACATGCATCTTTTTCTTGATAATTTAATCTCTTAGCTTTTCTTATGAGTTCAGTGGTCTCTGTCACAGTAAGAAACAAATCTACTACTGCTAATTTAGTGGTAGAAGGAACCAAACTGTAGCATGTTTTTATTTGCCTTTCTTTTTCTTATCCAGGAAACAGCACTTAATGACCCATATAACTGAACAAATCAGTGTTAAAATGACTAGAGCAAAACAGGCCCAGTAGAAGCCATTGTTTATATTACACTTCTGTTTGGAATCATCCAGGATGGACACTAGCAAAAATGTCGTGATGCTCCCTAAAATAATGAAAAATAAAAAATGTTAATGGATGACTCTGATCGTAACCAATGAACGTGTATTTCTGGAATGATTTTTAAGGCCATTTGTTTGTCTACATCATAATTTCTTTTTTGATAATCAAAGCTTGTCTAACCCCACCAAAAAGCTTATTAGATTAATCAATGTTGGTAATCTGATCACAATATCTGCAACATCGGTGAGAATTTCTCATTTTTTCATCAAATTTAGTATAGGCATTGTTTGCACTTCATAAAAATATGTGAAAATTTTAATTTTGAGTATATTAATTTTGCATTTGTAGAAGATTTGAAACATGAAACTTACATAGAAACAGGGTTACTGGAAAAGCAATTCGAGCAAAGCCGCCAATTACTCCAAACCATACTTTGTGTTTCTTTTCCTTTGCGTGAAATTCCAAGACTTTCATAAGAAAAATCATAAAGAGGCACGAACCACAAACGATTTGTCGAATGGCATAATCCACCTTACAGCCATCCAGCACCAGAACTACGATTCCTGGCAAAAACAAACCAATCAGATGTCATTAATGAAGCACATAAAAAACTTGTGATACCCAGTATTGATGGAGGGCATTTTATTCTTTTTTAAAAAAACGTCAACAATAGTAAATGGGAATTTTTAGTCTATGAACATCTGATAAATCCTAGGTGTTGACTTTGGACTATACATATAATGATCTGAACTCATCAGGTAGATAAACAGCTCAAAATCTGCAAGGGTGTAGAAAAAAGTGCAGAAAACCAAGTGAGACAGACAGACAAACATAGAGACAGACAGATAAGGTGGAAACTTATGGTCCCCTTTGGTTTCATGGGTAGAGAACTCAAAAAAACTGTGATAAATTCAGGTATTGAGCATATACCAATAGTTAATATGAATCTTATCAAGAAAAAACAAGAAACAGCATTTTGAACATACCTAGGGCCAATGCAGAGAAAGACAGGAGGGCTATAATTGTGGATTCCAAGGCAAACTCTCCTGTAAACAAAAATGTACATGTAAATCTGGAAGAACTGGTTATTTGTGAATAAACAGGTTTGAAGAAAGACCATAATTTATTGCACTCTGTAAGAGAAGTAAAATTGGAATAAGTTACAATTTTCCCTCGTTATTTACAGAGAGTTTCAT